TCAATAAATATAGCCTTGCTGCTCACAAGGGCAATATTAGAAAGAAGCCACTTCCTATGAAATCAAACTAAGGACTTCAACACATCTAACTATGAGACAAACATGAAAGGCCCAACTGCAGAGGCACCACTTTACAATTCCAAGTCTTTTAATCAGAAGAACAAAGTCACAGTGAGGAAAGGAACCAACTGGTTTTCAAACTAAAACATGCTACCTAGCTCTATCTAGAAGACAAATAAAGCCCTGGATATTCTTCACCAAAATTATGCTCCAAAAGAATATGCATAGCACTGCCATCACACCCCTGACCTGTGCTCAGTTTCACGTATCACTTATAAAGACCTGAGACCCTCTTCCCAAAGCTACCTTGAAAGTGCATAGCTGCTACTTCCAGCTTACCAACGGAAAGACTTGGTACTTCAGATACTTGTTGATCATTGAACACTGTTTTCCTTTCCAAGGTTCTCTGGAGCTCATCAACAATATGAACTCAAGAGTTGTGTAGGTCAGTGACATTCACTAAAAAAAAAAAAAAAAAATCAGACTTTGTTCTCACAAAATGAAAGAGGAAAACCTGCAACTCATGTTATTGACTTCCTAAAGCTTCCACAGAAAATGCTACTGCCTGACTCTTCAATGGCTTTTCACACATTAAATACCCTTCTAAATGTCCAAATAAAACAAAATCCCTAAATATATTATATGCAATCCTTACATATTACAGGAATAACTCCATCTCTGAATTCAAACTGAAAGATGATTGATTTGGTCCTATTTAACCAAGTAAGGCAAACAGCACTGAAACCAAAACATAGTTTTTACCTGCCTTAATCTAGCCAAATCTGATTGTTACTAAGAATAAATACCTAGAGAAGGGGCAGTGATGGCCCCAATGGCCACGTTCTTGACATTTTTCAAACAACAACAACATGTGGACTTTTACAGTTAACATTCAAATAATTTAAAAATAAAAATACTTAAGTTAGTTAAAAATACAATTTCACTTACATTACACTGTGGAATCTGGTAGCTCAGACAGACTAATCTAGTACAAATGCTTTTTATATCCTGTAGATGGACCCAAAGCCTAATCACACTAAACAAACACAAGTCAGATTGGAGAGATGGCTCAGTGATTAAAAACACTGACTGTTCTTCCAGAAGACCTGGGTTTGATTCCCAGCATCCACTTGGCAGTTAACAAACCCACACAAGACTCACAGACCATAAGTAAAAGACAGAAATATTGAAAAAAGACAGAAAATATTGAAAAGAAGCTGAAATGTGGAGAAAAGCTCCCCACCAAGACAACCTAAAAAAACAAATTATAAATACTACCATCTAAAAAGCAATAAAGACTGGCTCATGCTGGCTCACGACTGTACACAGAAGGCTAAAGCAGAAAATCTGCAGCAAGCTCCAGGCCTTAGTCAGAGGAAGACCCTATTTATAAAAGAAAACAAAACAAAGAATCCCAAAGCTCAGAAGGCAGAGGCAGGGGGAGGCCAGCCTAGTCTACCAGTCCAGGACAGCCAGGGGTATTTCACAGAGAAACCCTGTCTCCAAAAAAAAGGAAAAAAAAAAACTCAACCACATATAAACTGATCAACAACAAAAGAAACCAAAGCACAATCCTAGTTGTACTGAATTCACAAATTTTGTATGAATTTAAATGGAAATTATTTTGAGGAGAAGGGAAAAAGACAAGTTATCTGGAAAGAATAAAAAGCATCTTAACAGTAATTCTTAGCATGTGTATTAAGCATTAGCATTTGATCTGTTGTTAACTAAAAATATCAAACATAAAAGACAGGTTAGAATGGACAATCTTGGTTATTTTAATAAATCCACATGCAAAAAAAGTTTTTTGGAGAGACAGGAGACAGTCTTACTGTACCCTTGGATGGTCTCTGATTCACTGACCCAGGGCCACCATGCTCAACTGAAGACAACTTGTTTATTTGTAAGCATTTGCAAGTTAGCTTGGAGTGATAGAGCTTGCCTGTAATCCTTATACATGGGAGGTGAGAAGAAGGGTCAGGAGTTCAAGGTCATCCTGAGCTAACAGACCCTTTTTGAAGATAGTTAAGTAGTAGACTTTATATGTCTGATAATCTGAGCTATATTTAATTTTTTTGTTAGATTCAGTGTGAATAGATAAAATTATACAGTTCATTAGTGTACATCTTTGCCTGCTTCTGTCCTTCATAGGAATAGTGAATGTGTTTTGTCATTATCAACCTTACGAGAAGTAGCTCTCATTAGTTTAGCCTTGGCTATATTTTTATTTTTGTATGTAGACAGAAGAAGGGATAATTTGTGGGAATCTCAGACCCACCATGTGATTGGATCCTGGAGGTCAAATTCTGGCTGCCCAGCTTGATAGCTGTAAGCAAGTGCCTCCACCTTTGAGTTATACCTCTAGTTCCTTTGTTTTGATTTTTTTTTTTAACTTTCTGATTTGGTTTTCTGAGGTAAGACCTGCCTCCTTAGTGACAGGATTACAGGTGTGCACCACCTGCCTAGCTATTCTGATTGGACTATGTACTGCTTTGTCCTTTTTTTTTGAAACTGGATCTTGCTGTGTAGCCTAGACTGGCCTTAAATTTCCAATTGTTCTGCCTATGCCTCCTAAGCTATGTAATAGACCTAGGCTATTACACTAGCTTGTTTATTTACTTTTAGTTTTTAAGCCCAACACCTACCCCACAGCCTCATCTCTGTGCATTTGTGTTTAGAGGGCAGTGAACAACTTATGGGAGTCAGTTCTCTCCAATCTCTGGGTTCCAGAGATGAACCTCAGATGGCAGACTTGGTCAGCGAGTCCCCTTACCCATGGAGACAGCTTGCCAGCCCATTTACTTTTGACAGTTATACTTACTTAAAGAATACAGAGATAATAGGGGCAAGACTATCTAGAATTCAAGGCTACATAGCCAACTGGTAGCTGGCCTGTGCTATATAAGACAGTATCTTTAAAGACTCCAGGGCTGAAGAAACAGCTCAGAGGTTAAGAGCAAATGCTGAGAGTACAGTTTCTGACTCTTCTAGCCTCCACAGGCACTGCACACACATGTTGTCTTTACATACTTGCAGGTGAAACATACAAAAGCACACCTTCAAAAAAAAAGTGGTGGCACCCCCCCAGAAAACATAAAAGAGGTCAGTTTAGTTTCACATCCTAGACAATCACTTTCATAACTAAATATCCTTAAAACTTGCCAGGCAGTGGTGGCACACACCTTTAATCCCAGCACTTGGGAGGCAGAGGCAGGCAGATCTCTGAGTTCGAGGCTAGCCTGGTCTACAGAGTGAGTTCCAGGACAGCCAGTGCTACACAGAGAAACCCTGTCTCGAAATACCAAAAACTCTTAAACTTAAAACTCCAATGTAGCCGGGCGGTGGTGGCGCACGCCTTTAATCCCAGCACTTGGGAGGCAGAGGCAGGCGGATTTCTGAGTTCGAGAGTTCGAGGCTAGCCTGGCCTACAGAGTGAGTTCCAGGACAGCCAGGACTACACAGAGAAACCCTGTCTCGAAAAACCAAACCAAACCAAAAAAAAAAAAAAACAAACAAACAAACAAAAAAACTCCAATGTAAATATAATTGTCTGTTCTTTGGTTTACAGTACAAAACTGGTTCTAGGAGTTGTTTTGATCATCCTGGAGATTGAACTCAGGGCCTCACATACATTAAGCAAGTATTGTACTGAATAACTACATTCTCAACCTTTTTATACGGAAATATGGTCTCCACTATATTGCTCAAACTTGACACTCCCCCTGCTTTAGTTTCTAAATATCTAGGGTACCACCTTCAACTGGAATTCTAACTTTACTGTAGCAGGGTTACAACAGCATTTACAGCAGGCTCAGCACGACCCAACTATGATCACAGTGCCGAGGCAGCATAGGCAAGAGAACTCCCAGGTCTACCCTGGGATATATTAGTACCAGGGCAGCCAGAACTACATAACAAGAAAAAAAAAGCCAAAAGCATTTACTCACCCTCACAACCTTCTTAGTTCCCCTATGACTTGAGCTTGTCAGAATAGCAAACTATTCACACCAGCTATACATGATAAACATCCCCTGAGAAACCTAGGCCTATTAAGATTGAGTCTTAAAGTTGGTTGGTGCACTCAGAAGGCAGAGGCAAGCGGATTTTTTAGTTGGAGGTCAGCTTGAACTCTACAGAGCGAGTTTCAGGATAGGTGGGGATACAGAGAAACCCTACCTCAAAAGACAAAAACAAACAAAAAAACCAACCCCCCCCCTCCCCCCCCCCCAAAAAAAAAGGCGAAAGAAAAAATATTGAGACTTTAAGGCCGGATAGTTAGTACTGACATTTCAAATATTATGTGACCTTGCTGGAAAGGTCCCATGGCACTCCTGAGAGTAATAAACTAGTTGCCTATTCTAGGTACAAGCAGCCCCATACAGCTAATAAAGCAAAAGTGGGAGAGAACAGTGCATGATGGTTCATCCCTCAGGAAAATACCCCAGCTGGATGCGGTCTAGAACTGCGGCGCTGCTCCTGGCAGAGTTGGGACAAATGAAAGGTAAACACACGCGCAGCTGCTACTTAGGACAAGCCCGCCAGCCTGACAAACGCTGGGGAGGGCCCGGAGGGAAAGGGTGAAGAACAGGCCGGGGGGCGGTGGTGGAACGGCTTCGGGGCTGAGTAGGAGTATACTTGTAGGGTGCACACTAGCACTTTTTTATTCCTGACACCTGGGACCTCAGAATGACGCACGCGGCAACTCAGCATATGGATGCAGCCGCACCCGAATCCCGGGGCGCCCAGCTCCGAGCTCCCGAGGCTGCAGCCCGCGAACCCGCGCCTAACACCTGCCAGGTCGCGCCCTCCACCGGAGGTCGCCGGAGGACCAAAACGTCCACCGGGAGAAAGCCTCCCGGCGCTGAGCCCGAAGGCACGAGTTGCAGCCTGCGCCCCCTCACTCCCACCCCATCAGCCCTACCTGCGCCCCAGGATCTTACCCGAAGACAGCGCCTCTTCCGCCCGACCGCGCCAGCTGTCACCGTGGCGGCGTCCGCGCTCCAGACGCCAGTGACGCCTCATAAAAACAACAACCTGCTTGCGGGCGTCCACAGCAGGGAAGCGGTGGCAGGCGAGGCACAGCAAGGCATTCTGGGACTTGCAGTTCTTCCTGCGTCTCGCGCCAGCTCACGGCTAGGAGAAAGAACTATGACTCCCGAAGACTCCTACGGCCCGCCACCCCGAGGCTGCCGGAAGCTGGGCGGGGCGACCGCGGATCTCCACAACATCCGGGCTCCCACGCCTGCAGCCGGTTGCCACGGAGATGGGCTGCCACACTGGACCCAGACTGAGGGTTTTCATCCGCCATCTCTCTATCCAAAAATTGCAGTTTACGCGACTCGGATCGTTCTGGCTTCGTCCTTGTTGCTGCTTTCCATCGGTCCTATAAGAAGACTGGACCCTATGCCTTCGCCATACTTCTCACTATCAGGAAAGAGTTGCTTTTGCCGAAGAGATTAAGATGGCGAGAGAGACAGACTGCGACTTGGTGGGTTTGAGCACAGAGCTAGATGCTTTTGAAAGTCAAATTCATAATAAGTGTTTGAGGCACCATTTACTCCCACTCACTAACCTAGTCAGTCACCAAGCTTTTGTATTTACAAGTATAAATGCACGATCCACAGAATAATGACTCTGAAGGTGTAAAAGAGGCACCTCACTGCAAATGATCTTTTGTCCAGGATGGTTTTTGTTTTGCGTATCTATTTGCAGTCGTGGGGCTCGAACTCAGGGACTTGTGCGTAGTAGGTAACCGCTGTTCTACTGAGCTACACCTCCCAGCCCTAGAACCTTCATGTTTATGTCACTTATATAGTGTGCCTTGTCTAAAAGGATAGGAGAAGAACACAGTGCACTCACACCAGAAGAAAGTTAACTTTCTTCTGTCCCCTATCTGGCTAGTGAGTAAATAATAAAGAAACCATTCAACAAGCTAATATTGGGCAAAAGCTAGTTCACAGTTCTGATATTTGTGTTGCAGGAACTAGGGATTGAACCTCAAGCCTCACATAAGAGGAAAGCCCTCTACAAAGGAGGTAGATCCCTAGCCCCTTGTTTTTGTTTAGGTAAGAGGGGAGTTTTGGGTGGTGATTTTTTGACAGAGCTTCTCTGTAACTCAGGCTGACTTCAAATTCTCTATGTAGCTGGCATTGAACTCCAGAACCTCTTGCCTCTACTTCCTAGGTATTAGGATTACAGGCCCACACTCTGCTCTTAGAACTCCTTAACAGGCTAAAATGTAAATAACAAAGCTGTTTTTACAGTGAGTGGGGTAAAGTGGTACTTACTTTGATTATTTATAAACCTCAATATAATGGAGATCTAAAAGATATACGGAGATAGCATTGTCCCCCTGACTTGATAGTAGATAAGGCTTCTGGTGACCTGGATTATTTGAAGTGACTTTTTAAAAATTATTAAATCTAGAGCTGAAGTTTATTTAGTTTTAGGGCCACTAGTAGCAAAGGTGATTTGATGAAAACTGAGCCCTCGGTAACCTAAGGAGATAGTAATAACCAAAGAAAGTCCTTGGTATGGTTGGACATGGTGGCCCAGACCTAGAATCCCAGCACTATGAAGGCAGGAGGATTGCCATGAGTTTGGGGCCAAGTAATTATTGAAACCTATCTCAATAGATTGGAGAAATGGCTCATCTGTTAGGAGCACTGACTGCTCTGCTGGAGGTCCTGAGTTCAATTCCCAGCAACCACATGGTGGCTCACAACCATCTGTAATGGGATCCAATGTATTCTTCTAGTGTGTGTCTGAAAACAGCTGCAGGGGACTCATATAGATAAAAAATAAATCTTAAAAAAAAAAAGAGCACTGTGTGCTCCCCAGAGTTCCTGAGTTTGAATCCCAGCAACCATTTGATGGCTCACTACCATCTATGCTGATGGCATCGTATAGTATGCAGATATGCATGCAGATAGAGCATCCATATACATAAAATAAGTAAATCTTGAAGAAAAAAGAAGAAAAATCCATTCATCCAGTATTGTAATGTTTCTATTCACTTTTCCTTCAAGGCAGCTCAGAATCTGTGGTTTGGGTTTTGTTGATGTGTTTAGCTATTTTTAAGTGGGTTACATCTAGATGAAAGTTCCTGCCTTACACTACACTTTTCTAGTATTCTGATTTCTAGACTTTTTTTTTTTTTTTGAGATAGGGCCTCCTGTATCCCATGATGGCCTGTCTCCCTGAGAGGACCCTTCTTATCCCCTGTGTGATTACTGGTATGAGCCATCATGCCCAGTTCATGTGGTGCTGGAAATAGACCCCAGGGCCTCTTTATATGTTAGGCAAGCATGCTACCAACTAAGTCACATCTTCAGCCTGTAAGTTTGCAGATTTTTAACTTAACATTCAGAAACTGAATTTTACTTAGATACTAAAAGAATCCTGGGATTGAGAAACAACTCAGGTATGTTAACCAGAACCTGACTAGCAGGGCATGGTGGCCTAGGTCTACAGTCCTATAACTGTAGGAGAAGTCCAAAGGATTCTAATTTCTCCAGGAAGTTCACTGTTTGGGGTGGGAGGTGAAAGTAGGCAGTCCACAGTGAACCCTGGAGGCCAGGAGGGACTTGCCCACTAAGGAAAGACTTGGGCAGATACCTAAGTGTATATATGCTTCTCTCCTGAGCTTCTTACCTAGAAAGGAAAGGGAAATAGACTCAAGGAGAGAGATGTAGAGAAGAGAGAAACTCAGAAAGCATTAGATTCAAGAGCTGCCTTCTCTTGAACTCTTAGCAACCCCTCTACCTCTGACAGGGTGCCTCTGGTGCCACCACACCTTGCTAGGGGTCTGGCAAACGTCTGTAGATTACTCCTCTGTTAGTACAACCAGGTCTGGTCACTCCCTCTAGAGCTGGCATCCTTCGAAGGCTGTGAGGAAGGGTTACTGCCTTGGAGCACGTTAGAGAATGGGGAAACATGAAAGACTTAGGGAAGATAGCTATAGACTCTAGTGAAAAAGGCTAAATGATTAAGTCATCTGCTACAGAGATCTCTGTGTCTCTGACTGGCACAAAGCCAGGGACCTTGGCCTTTCTGGGTGAGTAGCTCCTATAGTTTGACGTTTTGTTTTCCAGTACAGGGGATTGAATGCATAGACTGTACCACAGAACTGCATATGCAGTATGCTTTTTGTTTTGTTGTGAAACTGGGTTTCATGTAGTCCACTCCCTGTGTAGCCAAGAATGACTTTAAATTCGTGGCACCTCCCAAGTGCCACCAGACATGGTGCCTTATTTCTATCTTTGAAGCAGGGTCTTGTGATGTAACCCTGGAGCCCTGACTGGTTCAGAATCCCTTATGAAGACTAGGCTGGCTTCAGAGCTAGCACTCTCATCTCAATGTTGAGATTCAGATGTGTTCCACACCAGAGCCAACTCTGCCCTATAGTTACCAATGAAATAAGAAAAGCATCCAGGAATGGTGGCTAGCCCTGTCACCCCAGTACTTCTTTAGAGAACATCAGTTCACACTAGTAAACTACGCTGTGACACAGACTCATTTTTAACTGTGTAGGTTTTAAAAGTGTTCTGGAGCTAGTACAAGGAATCTCATAGCAAAGCACCCTGGCACAAATCTGCTGCAGTGCCAGCACTCAGGAAGCTGAGGCAGGAGTGGTGTCTTAAGTTCAAAGCCAGTCTGAGCTACAGAATGAGACTCTTGTTTCAAAGAACCAGGAAAAGACTGAATATGTCAGCAGCAGTGGGAGCTAGCAACACTCCACCAGATAAAGCAGTGTGAGTTCTTTCCAGAGACTCTTGGGTAAGAAAGATTACTGACTAACACAGAGTTTCAGGACTTAAGTATAATTCAAGGCTGGAGTTTATTAGGAAACATTCAGTATAGGTTGCAGCACAGACACTAAGAGACAGAGACATGTAAGAGGAAGACAGCTGCACACATTTTGAAGTAGGCAGGGCTGCTCAGGACAGAGGCCTCCATAGATGATGTAACAGCACAGCCTGTAATTCTGGTGATTTTTTTTAAGTTGCACTGGCCAAAGGATTTAAGAGATTAAGTAAAACATAGGTAGATGTGACAGCCCATGCCGTGATGCTAATTGCTTGGAAGATGATCAGAAGTTCAAGGTCATCTGCATCTACATAGAGTTCTAGGCAAGCCTGGGCCACCTGAGACTTTCTCTAACAGAATGAGAGAAAGAGCTAGGTATGGCGCCTCTAGACTTTAATCCCAGCACTAGAGAAGCAGGCAGATCTTTGTGAGTTCTGAAACAGCCTGGTCTACATAGTAAGACCCTTACTCAAAAAAAAAAAAAAAAAAAAAGAAGAAGAAGAAGAAGCAAGAGGAAAGAAAAACATCCAAGAAAAGCTGAGAGGATAAGTCAAGTACACTCCTGTATAACTCAGGGTTGTTTTTATACCTTTTAGGATAAGAAAACTTTTTTGACTTCGGATGCAGAAATGAGACCTGGACCACCAGCTCCATGTGTGAACCCTGGCAACCCTGTGTTTTCCTGTATGTTGGACCCCAAGACATTACACACGGCCACCTCATTGTCCAAACCCCAGATGATTATGTACAAGACCAATGCCAGCCAGTATGGGGCCTTCTCACCCAGGCCCTTCTTCTTTCCCTGTAAGTACCTACCACAGGAGCAAGAGTTCACAGAGCACCTCAGAGCAACTGGCTTTTATCAAAACAACAGCCTAAATATTGGCCCTGACAGAACCAGAACCGTCGATTCTCCTAATTATCAACATACACTATGAAAATACATCCTTCTGACAATTGAGGAGAAAATGTCCTGGGGGATGTTAGTTTTTAAGTCTAGAATACCTAATTTTGAACCTATTTGAAATTTAATAACTTTTAGTAAAAAAGATACAAATACATGTTCTAAAAAATACTTTTAAGAAATAAAAAAAATTAACTGATAAGTTAATGACAGTGACCTTGTTCATTTATTTATGTTAGAAAAAGGGTTTCACTATGTAACCCAGCTAGCTTAGAACTCTCCATAAAGTCTAGAACCACCTTAGCCTCCAGATGTAAACCACTGGACCCTACCATACAAACATACACGTGTTCAGGAGCAGAAAAGATGGCTCAGCAGTTAAGAGCACAGACTGCTCT